CAATCCTTCATGAGCTTCCGATTTTAGCTATGATTAATTAATGTTAAACATGTCATTGTCATTTATGATCAAATTCATCACAATTCTTCTGTTATGCTTGGAGAGTAATTATACATTCTTTTGTTCAAAATACAGTCCAATAGTGTTATAAAAACCTCTGAGAATTCCAGTAAGATATCATAAATCTGGAATAATATATATATATATATATATATATATATATATATAAACTTTATTTCAATCTTTTATGAACTTCTGATCCTTAACTTGATTAATTAATGATAAACATGCCATTTTCGTTTATGATCGATTTCATCACGATTCATCTGTTAAGCTTGGAGAGTAATTATACTCAAAGTAGAGTCTCATAGTGTCATAAAAACTTCGGAGAATTCCAGTAAGATATCATTAATCATTTCTAAGATACAACTGTTCAAAACTTAATCTAACAATGGGACAATTTTGCTGTTACACAATTTGGACAATTTTGCAGTTACACCCGGTGTGCGTGTGTGTGCATATATATATCTATGATAGAAATTAGGAGGATTCGAGATAATTATAATTAAGTAATTCATCGAGTCTAGAAGAAACCTCAACAGAATGCAGAAAGCACCGGACGGCCGTTTCTTCGTATATTTGGGGTTCATCACCAGTGCGCATCCACTACCGAGAATTGAAACCCGGACAGTTACGTTATCAGGTAAACGTAATTCCAACTGTTCCTGTGCTTTCTGCATTCTGTTGGTGTTTCTTATAGACTCGATGAATTACTAAATTATAGTTATCTCAAATCCCCCTAATTTCTATCACTTGTATATCCTTGCTTGAACCGGCTTCTAATGCTCTGGACTGAGCGGCTTGGGGATAATAGTTGTGGCTTGTGGTGGCACAGTCCTTTAGGTAAAAGGGAATCTCGGATGAGTTCCACCACGGAATATGTGATCCAGCGACACTATATCGAGTCTGATTCGCTATCTCTTCGTCACCGATCTTTCAATAACCTAAAAATTATAAACAGAATGAATTCGCAATGCGACGCATCATTAAACACCACATTTCGCCCTTTGACCCCAGCAAACGTATAAAACTCATAATTCCAGATAAGAACACGCCCATCAAATCTAAACTAAAAATGACCAATGACATATATCAATTTAATTTCTTAGTATAAAAATACGCTTCTTGCCTTAAATCGATAATATACAGGTTTCGTTGGATAAATTGTCTAAATTACGCAAAAATGAAAATAACACTGACATCTCATTTTAACAGGTATATTACCAAAAGGCCCGATGGATTAGTTGGTACGACCTTGGACTGATAACGTTACTGTCCGGGTTTCAATTCTCGGTAGTGGACGTGCACTGCTGATGAGTCCCAAATATAGGACGAAACTGCATTCTGTTGAGGTTTCTTCTAGACTTGATGAATTATATTATATATATATATATATATATATATATATCTCGCTCTCAGTTCTTTCCATACGTAACTTAAAATGTAATCATGACGTGTGATGTCAGTTTGAAAAAAAACTGTCGTCAAGAATAGGATATGAAAGTTGTCTCTTAAGTTATAAGTTGATTGATTTCAGATTTTAATTTGATTAAATCAAGCAATCGTTTTTTTTTTCTGCTAGAGTTGCCGTGAGATGGGTGATCATTGGAATTGGGTTCTTAAGGATTTAAAGGAGAAAAAGAGGAACTAATCAAATCTTCTCGAACGAACTAAGTGTTAATAGCAAAATACCATTCCTCAAGGTTTACATAGAATTCAACGCCAATTGTGATGGCCAAAGATGCCTTCCAAAAGCTAAGCAGAGTATTAAGAGACTGAAAAAAGTTTGTTAGAAACAAAGAAAAAAGTATTGAACTGTTACGTAATATCTGTCCGCCTGTATAGCAGATAATGCTAGACAATTTCAAAGATGAAAAAGAGACCTGAAGCTACAGAAATGTGGTTTTAAACAAGGATGCTGATAATACCATGGACTAAACGTATGAGCAACGAGCAAATGATGCTTTTCAAAAGTTAAGTAAAGTATTAAAAAACAGGAAATTTTTTGTTAGGAACAAAGAAAATAGTACTGAATTGTTACATTATATCGTCCCTCCTATATGGCAGTGAATGCTAATCTCTTCGCGGATGAAGAAGAAGCAAGGAGCAACAGAAATATGGTTTTAAAGAAGAATGCTGAGAATACCTTGGACTAAACGTATGAGAAAAAGATGCCTTCCAAAAGCTAAGCAAAGTATTAAGAAACAGGAAATGTTTGTTAGAAACAAAGAAAAAAGTATTGAACTGTTACGTGACATCTGTCCTTCTATATTGCAGCGAATGCTGGATAATCTCCTCAAAGATGAAAAAGAGACTTGAAGCAACAGAAATGATGTTCTACAGAAGGATGCTGAGGATACCATGTTCCGAATATGTGTGCAGCGAAGAGGTTTTAAGAGAGAATGGGAACAAAAATGAAACTTATATTTAACATCATGCACAGGCAGTTTAAATTTCTGAGGCAAGTAATTAGGAAGGAGGGCTTGGAAAATCTGATACTCACAAGAGAGAGAGAGGGGGGGAATGCGGGTAAAGGAAAGCAGCATGTAACATACTTGACAAACTTGAGTAAATGGATGGTAGAACAGGGTTTGGGAGAAAAGGACAAAATTTATTAAGATCTACAAATGACAAGAAGATGTGGAGAGCCATGATCGCATTCAATTGCGGTACATAAAAAAAGTTATTAAAAAGAGAACTCCTGCATCCTAAACTTCAATAGCGAATACCAACTAAGGTAGGAGTAATAACTTCTTAAATAGAGCATACCTAATCGCTTTCTCTCGAAAAAATATTTTTAGTGAACTCAAGCATATAAAATAAA